CAAATTCCGATTGTGGATCGCTTTTCGAACAAAATTTTACTTATTTCTCTGAGTGCATGATGTATTGGAATGCGACGTGGGACATTTCGAAATTCTGCAGGTATATCAAAGTGATTCAAAACCGAAAAATGGCGATTCTCGTCCCCGAGATAGAAATAGACTTTAAGCGATCTCAATATTATTCACTGAGAGGTATGGGTAAGGCTTTATCTAAATAGCAATGTATTTTAGTGCATCTGTGGGTCATCTTGACGCAGTTTGCCCGGCAGTAAGGTCGCATCAGTGATGCGATTAGAAAGTGTGTCACTATGTGGACATTATTACTCATTTATTGTTTGATTGTAAGATAGGAACCTATAATATAAATAACAATTACAAAATTCCAAGTACCATAGAGCGTACACTCGGAAAAATCAAGAGAATTTGTCCTAATATTGATATACTTCTTGCCCTCGTGTGGAGCCTCTTGACCTAGTTTGACCCAGCATAAGAAAGCATTCGCTCTACATGTGGAAAGTGTGTCACTATTCGGACAATATGACATTCATTTTCAGAGTGAACTTCCTACTTTGCTTCAAAAACTACAAACTATACATTGTATGTGTATAATTATACAGGTGTATAATGGCTTTAATATATTACCGTAGACGCGCAAATTTGTCTTCGATATTTACGCAGCTACAATGACATGCAAAAACATGTATAAGATATACTACGTTTTATCAGGGAATTTCAAATTAAAATCAACATTTTCGTTTGGAAGTTCAATGATGGGAATTTTTCACTAGGAATGTAAAAATGAATAAGATAGTCCATTAACTTAAGAAAAAATTTATATTCTTTCAAAAATTTCAGTCATTCAGTCAAGGACTACAAATTCATCAAAAAGTCACGAACCTTGAATGTTGTTTACAGACTTTAAATTCGCCTTACATCCCTCATATTCAAAGGTTATTTCTTCCTGAATAACATGAAGTCGTACAAGTTTTTTATAACACCCGCAATCTTGTTTAAATATTTCTAATTCCAGTCTAATTCGAGATACAAATGCGAATTAAGAATTCCTTTAAACTTGATTCAATACGTTAAAAATTACGTTAATTCAAAGGACCGACACAGAATGCAGGTGTAAAAAATAAACTACACTCAGATAAATCAATGGGTCATATTATCCAAATAGTGACGCATCTTCTGCACGTAGAAATGATACGTACTTCTGCTAAGCCAAACTGGGGAATAATGACCCACACAAGAGCAAGAAGGGCATCACTATTAGGACAAAGTCTCAATTTTTCTGAGTGTAAACTGCAAATTTAAATTTTTTATATTCCTCTGCACTTCGCAGGTTTGGTTTCAAGCTTATTCCTCCACCGGTAATATCTGGTTTGAATATACCAAAAAAAGTTTATAAAAAATGACGCTTCTGTGAAAAAGAAGCTTGGGGATTCCAGATTTTTTGTCGAGTTTGATCATCCATTTCTCGCGTCTCCTACGTTGAAGTTCGTACTTCTTGACACAAGGCTCAGCTAATTTTTTTTTATTATTTCTCATATTTATTAAATAATTTATATGTAAAATTCTTTGATCGTATGTTGAACTTAATTTCGAACATTTGATTCTTACCTTCTTACTTTTACGTTTATTTCGACGACGCGTGAGTGCGTCTCGAGTTGCATGCGCTGTCATGACGCAACGTCACGCGCCGTTAATGCGTCGTCGAGGCCAACGTCGTAACGGCAGAGCAATAATTTCACGTGCGTCTTGTAGCCTGTATTGCCGCGACGTAGTGCGTCTTGTAGCCTGTATTGCCGCGACGTAGTGCGTCTTGGAGCCTGTATTGCCGCGACGTAGTGCGTCTTGGAGCCTGTATTGCCGCGACGTGCGTGCGTCTTGCAAAAGCTTATCCATCCTAATTTTTACAGCATTATTAGATAAAATAGTTGAAATGATCCTGCCTAATTCGCGATATACATTACATTGTCACTTTAATATTAGTCTTTTCCTTTTCATGTATAATTCTTTTTATTAAGTACTAGTGCCAAATATCTATTAGTGCTAGTGGTATAGAAATAATAGTATAATAAATAAATAATCTCCAATAAATAAGTTTCACATGAGATTTTTCTCTAGATTTCTGCAGTAAAATATTTCTCTAAATTTTCATATGTATTTGGTGACTGTAATAAAGATCACTTATTGGCTTCATAATTATTTTATATGCTCCTTAGTAATTATTATGATTTTTCATATGAAGCAATTTATATACCTACAAACTATTATTATCTATAATTATATTTAATTATTAGCATGTTCGAATTGATTTGTGTGTGCAACTGCCGGGTGTGCCTGGGGCGGTACCCTCAATCAAGGGATGACCCACACAAGAGCAAATAGCTCATTGCTATTTGGACAATGACCCTTTCATTTCTGTGAGTGTCGTTCTGCCCTAGTATTGCAATGGGCGGGAGGGGGGGGGGAGAAGTCTCCACTGAAGCTGTAGGCTGTTTCTTGTGAAGGCATAACCAATTATCAAAGCATGACAATTATCCAGGGAAAAAGCTATTTTCTTCTCTCCTATCTAGTGTACATAATCGATCTCAATGGTTGATGACCACACGTTTACCATCTAGAACTTTAAATTCGCCTACGGGCAAACTTTAACTTACTCAGAACATACAATCATGCACCTGAGGAAATTCATATTTTTTCTGTTCCATTAAGGTTTCTCGACTCGGAATAAATTACATGCACCCAGAGAAATGAGTGAGATTTTGTCTAATTATGCGATGCACATTCAATTCTAGTGTGGGTCATACAGACCCAGTTTGGCCCGGCCAATTAAAGAGCGTATCAGCGGCATTCGGACTTATTATTTTTTTTCTGTTTATGAGCCCGTATGAAAAAAGCAAACAACATTCTGCTGCGGAAAGTTCAAAGTTTTTTATATCATTATAATTAAATGAAACTTTCACCGACAAATTGTTGTGCTAAAATGTCCTTTTCCTGATTATAGCCTTCGCTTTGTCTCTCCCTTTGCCTTGTATAATAATAATTAGTTTTTTATGCTCAAATTGTTTTAATATGTTGCGTGATTATTTGGTTACTTAATAAATTTCTTCAGCATTATAAAATTTTATCGAACTTCTTATTAACTTTTTATGTCGTCGTTGTTCGACTCCTCTATTTTCTCCTTGGGCCTTTCTTTTAAAGTAACGAAAGTTTACTTAACAAGTTCTCTAGCTGTTCACTGAACAAGTTCTCTAGCTGTTCACTGAACAATTTCTCTAGCTGTTCACTGAACAATTTCTCTAGCTGTTCACTGTACAAGTTCTCTAGCTGTTCACTGAACAATTTCTCTAGCTGTTCACTGTTCCGCTCTCGCGCTAACCGTCGTGAGCTATAACCTGTCTGAGGCCGAGATTTGCATGTCATTTTTCCTCAATAAATCTTTTCTATGGAGATTTTTTAAACGTCAATAAATCTTTTCTATGAGAAGGTTTTTTTAGAATTTGATTATATTTTTCCTGGTGTCAAAGAGGCCTCAGCGCAGCAATTAAGGCACTATGCTTCGCTATTCGTATATCATTTATCATCTTATACTGATATATCCTTTCATCTCATATTGTATTTTTGTTATCATGTTATAGCTATTTATCCACTACGATCAATCTATACTGATGATTTATTGATATAAGAAATGATATAATTTATTATATAATTTCTTACTGTCTTATAGACTTATACTATGATTTCATTATGATTTTGACTATCGTTATATTTTATTTAAACTGTGATTGATTACTGCTTTACTAAACCAAGTATTTTCTGACATGGTTAAATAAATTTCGTCGATTTTCCATCATTTAACCCCACTTCTGGGTTATCTTTAAGTAAATTTTCAACTGTGATAGATTATCAATTCAAATCAAGTAATGTCTTTTAATTCGTAGCAGGTGGTCTCTATCAATCGTTCTGCATTCATTTGATTTTATTATATTTCAGTATTGAGTTAATTTTTCGGAATCTGCAACCAATTCTAGTTGGATTCCAGTTGTAATGTTACCAGGATTTCTTCCCTTCATTACGAGTAATTTTAAGTTATTAAATAAGGTTGTATTCCATATTAATTTATATAATTGAAAACAGGCGTTACAAAGAGCGATTACACACTTATCTTAATTGTTTTAATCAATATTTTAACATATAAATACTACTCTTATTATATTAATTTAATATTATTCATTTTTAAAATGCTTTATTGTTATGTTATTTTGCATTTCGTTACAGTTTCTACAACAACTTTACTCCCTAACGCACGCCAAATTTTTAAGGCTCCATGCAGCTTCTTTTCTTCAATTCAAAAATTACTGATCATTCTTTCCAATTTTAATAAAAAAATAGTCATTCGTCAATACATTTTGGGTACATTTTTCCTTGCGTTATCATCATTGATCGATTTAGTTGTCTACTGGTATCACTCTTTGTAAATCATTTGTTGACAAAACTAAATTGTGTCGAAAAATATTTATCAGTACATATAAATAAATTGTTGATTATTCATTAATATTTATGATTTAGAAATGTGTTTTTTAGAAAGCGAAAGGCTACTACGTAAACTTTGAATACTCGACAACGTAACTTTTCACTGATATTATGTATAATAATTAGTACTTCAAGTTTGTTGGCTATCCTATGCACTTGAACGGTTTTGTCATCAGTCCATCCTCATTTGGATTTATGTCTCAAATTATTTTCTTATAGTTCAAATTTGAGCCATTCCTTCGATCGTCAGGTTCAATGTTTCTGAAAGGATCACGTTTCAGAACGTTAAAAATATGAAGCATTATAGTGTCTGAGTTTTTGATTTCATTACTTTTCACTCATCTTCGTTTATTTTGTTCGCATTACATTGATTTTATTTTGTATTTTGTAGCTCTTTAAGAATTTTCACCATTTTCGTATTTTCACCGTATTTTCAACATTTTCTATTTCTCTCTCAGGTTGAGGAAATCTTCGAAAGGATCTCTGGCAGCGACGCGGTCTCCAGCCCCAGCAACAGCCACAACCACAACCACCACAATTCCTCATCCATATCACCCACAGATCCTTCCACCCTAAACTCCACCAACTCCACAACAACGTCCAAAAAAGTCGTTCTGATCACAGACGGGCAACTGCATTTGCGACAAGTGCTTCATCCTAAAAGTGCCTTCCATAACATAGAGCTCCCTGAGACCTACAATAGCTTCTTTGACCTCAGGAAGGAGTTCAGGAGATGCTTCAAGAGCGACGAGGTCATGAGCGTTCAGGACATGGCGAACAGTATCCTTTATTTATGCCTATTATTAATTGTTTATGTTGAATTTGAATTCTTTCAACACAGATTAGTAAGTTATCGTCCAAATAATGACTCATTTTGCCTATCATTAATTGTTTGTGTTGAATTTGAATTCTTTTAACCCAGATTAGTAAGTTATCGTTCAAATAATGACTCATTTTGCCTATTATTAATTGTTTATGTTAAATTTGAATTTTTTACACAGATTTGTAAATTATCATCCAAATACTGACTATTATTAGTATTTGGATGATATCAAATTATCATCCATTTTCTTACCTATGGCGCGATCAGAGAGCAAACGTAGCACTGATACGCCCAAACTGGATTAGGATGACTCACACAAGGGCAACATGTGTATCACCATTTGGACAAAGTCTCATATATTTCTCTGAGTGTGCAGTATTGCTGTTTTCACGCAAAAAAATGTGATACTGTTTTTCAATATTTAGGCGGTTTTTTTTTCGTTTAATGCAACTTATATAGATAAAAAAATTCAGTATTTTACAAATCATCGGTCGATTCAAGTAATCATTAATTTCTATCACAAATTAATTTTATAAGCAATTAAGTATTGAACCTTGAAGTTTCATCATTATTGCCTGAAATCTCCTTAGTCCCACCATGCATATAAAGTTTTCATTTCCTACGATAACCCTTTTTCTTGATCAGGATTTAACGTATGTCGTTCATAGTTATTTATACACATTTTTGTAGACATTTCACCGTGTTTTCTATGATAAACTATTCTTTCAGTAACAAACTAACATAAACCATTGCCTTTGAAGTACTAACTTGAGAATAAACTGATAAATATTCTTCGAGCATTTTCTAACATTTTTCAATATATTTTTTTCTCTTTCCCTGTAGTTTTTTCATGAGCTGTTAAGCAGCTATAGGCCTATATCGGAGATTCATTTTCCGTTCTTAACATTCCCAAGATTTATTTATTTCAGTAGGTATTTTTTAGCGTATCGGTTGTTAATCTAGCCCTTAAGCTTAAGCTGTATACCTGACTTATGCTTTACCAAAAACTGGTCTTGGACTTTGGAAGCTCCTAAGCCGGCTTCCTTAGCGGGTCTTCACCCTACCTCTTCTAATGCATTCACTTGAACTCGGCTTAATGAATAGAAGGCATGCTAATACAAACACAGTTACGTTATACGACGGTGAAAATGAATTTTTTTAGATTTTATTATCGAAAAATTTCAAAAAATGTCGGCAATATCAATAAACCAGTCATGATGAATAGAAAACAGGCTAATATAAACACTTTTATGCCATATGATCTTGAAAATTGTATTTTTTTATAGCCGAAAATTTTCAAAAAAGTCGGCAATATCAATAAACAAGTCATGATGAACTCGTATGATGAATAGAAAATAGGCTAATATAAACACAGTTACGCCACACGACGATGAAAATTTAATTTTGTTCCGATTTTATAACCGAAATTTAAATAAAAAATTCGCAATATCAATCAGCAAGTCATGATGAATGAAGTTTCTCGTCTTCAATTCGGCCTGAAGTTAGCAACGCATCGAGTTTTTCGTGAATAGTGATAGTGAATGTTGAATATAATTTAAATCATCATGGGTCGTATTTTGAGTACTAATGGTGAATAGTAATTTTAAACTTTGTGCCTCCATAGATTCAAGGCTCAAGCAGGAATAATTTGAATTTCAACACAGCAACTTCACTATGTGTCGTTGGGTGAACCTGCCAGAATTTTTTTATAACTTGTCAGTATTTAATTTGTCTTTCTCATATGCAGGTACTATATTGTAGCATGTCATGCTGCGTACAGCATTATGTACTCATCAAGTAGTATACAGCATCATGTCACGCATTGTACTATACCATGTCATGCTGCGTATCATGTCACGGTAGCTGCGGTCTCACGTCTCTCCTCAGTTCTGCTTGGATTGTCACGTATAGGTCGAAAACCTTCACTGATGCTGCTGCTGCTGTCACTGCTGCCAGTGCTGCTGTCACTGCTTCAGTGCTGCTGTCACTGCTTCAGTGCTGCTGTCACTGCTTCAGTGCTGCTGTCACTGCTTCAGTGCTGCTGCCACTGCTTCAGTGCTGCTGTCACTGCTGCAGTGCTGCTGCCACTGCTTCAGTGCTGCTGTGCTGCTGCTGCTGCCACTGCTTCAGTGCTGCTGCCACTGCTTCAGTGCTGCTGTGCTGCTGCTGCTGTCACTGCTTCAGTGCTGCTGCCACTGCTTCAGTGCTGCTGTGCTGCTGCTGCTGTCACTGCTGCAGTGCTGCTGCCACTGCTTCAGTGCTGCTGTGCTGCTGCTGCTGTCATTGCTGCAGTGCTGCTGCTGCTGCTGCTGCTGCTGCTGCTGCTGCTGCTGCTGTCATTGCTGCAGTGCTGCTGCTGCTCTGTCATTGCTGCTGCTGCTACTGTCATTGCTGCTGCTGCTGCTGCTACTGCTGCTAATACTACTCAACCAATGTGGACAATATAGCTTATGATGGCGGTGTGTTGTTGTTCAAACTAATTCTGAAGATAATTGGAATGTTTTCAAAAAGTTTTTGAAGATAATACGAATATTTTCAAGCTAAATAAATCTGATGTGGCTTCTGTTAATAATAGCAGTTGATCTTTCTGCACAAATTCATATTTTTTACTACTTACGCTAAATATCACAGAGAAGAAGTCTCGCAAAAACAGATGTCGCGTTGCCTGATTTTCGAAACTTAACGATTCGGAACATTCACCAGCGCTCGCCTTCTGTGCCGCTTGTCCGCACAGTGCACAGCGAATAGATAACCATCGTTATAATAAACAGCTTTCAGTGCATAACACATATAACCATCATTGTGCATAATTAACACATCACACAAATAACCATCATTAAAATGATGGTTATTTGTGATTCGATTGGGAATAACTGTCTTTATACCAATCCTTTGTCGCGAGCTGCAACTCTCTCTTCTATTTTTCTTCATTTCTTTCTTTTAAGTTCAAATCCATTATTCAGTTTAATTTATTCTTAATACGTTAAAAAACGAATAGCATTGACGTTGTTGTAAATTTATAAATGATTAAACTAATACAAGCTATGATCGCAAATCCTCATATCGGCTATTCTAATTATTCGCACAAAAACATCCTAAGTTATTATCTATCCAATACGTATTAAAATCGATTAATTTTTAAATAAAAATTGTTGCTGATACGATTATCTACTCGGGCACGATCAGAGTTATGAATTATTCCTGATAACCGAGTTATAAATCTCAATGCTTTTCATGAACCAGTATTTTTTTGATCACTTCCTGTAACGCGTTGGAGTCTCCTAATGTATCTTCTCGCCTCCTGAAAGTGCACGTTTCTGTATAAATAACTTCATATTTTTATTCAAATTAACGCATTTTTTGGTTTAAATCAGTTCATGTTATGGTTTAAATTAATGCATAGTTTTAATTTAAATTACTGTATTTTTTAGTTTAAATTAACGCCACTAAGATAACCTTTTAATGGAACCTTATGTTTTCGAAATCGGAGCATTTTTACAGTCATACAATAATTTAATTCGATGGCTTATCTAGTGCTCTACTCGAGGATTATTCGCTGAATATATTTTGATGCCTCCTCTTTATTTAATGAGACCTGTATTGAGCCGCAGTTCTAAAAGTGATCGAAAAGTTTATCAACAATTTTTATGTGTTAAAACGGTGGGTAAAATAACTTGCGTGTCAAATTACATTCTTTCACGGCAGATTCAAATTTCCTTGACATTACAGGGCAGATTCAAATTGCATTCACTTAAATTTTACGAGATTCAAATCTGTTTGATCTCCGTTTTTGCAAGCACGATATTTGAATTTCAAAAACGGAATTTACTTTACTTCAAAATGTGCTCGGAAGTTTTTTGTCGACCTAATTTTGTTTTGAAGTAAAGCCCTTTTTTCATATTCATATCTCGTTTGAGGCGCGTATGTACCGCTAGGTAATCGGTAGACGGTTTTTTATCGCTGAAATTTTTTATTTAGTTTTCATTTAATATGTGTATGCTTTTACGACATTCAAACGATAGTATCGAGTAATTTGCAAAATTTGCACGTCAGATCCGAAGTAGACAACTGACATTTTCATTTCTAAAATCTTGCTCAAAATATAAGAAAACTTGCTCGAAAAGAAGTGGTTTCAGTGAAGAACTAGTTTTGAATTTGTCTGCGAGAAGTTTGTTTGGTCCGAACTCGTTTCTTGAAGGAGCAATTTTGTTTTATGTTAATTTTTCATATATAAAAGCTGCATAACAGTAAGCTTTTTTGATACATGTCGAACTACCTGCAGTTTGGGAATAGAATTTAGATTTTTTAGTATTCTCTGACCGATTAATCCACCCTTGTGGCGTCTTTTAATATTTTGTCTAAGGATACATTAAATTCGTTGATGCTATTCGTATTTAAAGGCCATATGCCATATTGTCCTAAAACTGACACACTCTTGGCCCGTAGCACTGATAGTTCCAATGAGCAGGCAAAGGGTTATAAATGAGTACACGTGGGATTTAATACTCTTGAAAAGCGTTATAAATAAGATGTGTAGGGAGCGTTAATAATTAAATATGTTCCAAATTGTGCTGCGCTTTACTATTTTTTTTAGAACCGCGTCGAGAAAAACTCCCACGGCGCCGCTTCTCAGCCAGACACGTACACGATGCGCGTGCAACCTGCACTCAGAGAAATAAGTACAACTTTGTCCAAATATCGATGAATTTTTTCCCTTTGTATGACTCACCCTGACCCAAGTTTGGCCCGGTAAATAGAGCGTTATGAATACGACCGCTCTCGTAGACGTTATCGATACGACCGCTTGAGAGCTACGACCGCTCTCTGATACTGCTGTGGGTAAGTGTCATTATATGGACAATGTGACCTATTGATTTCTCAGAGTGTAGGTGGCGAGACTGGCTATAAACGGAAATGCTGTTCCTTTACCACCGAGATTAAGCAAAAAATAAAATAAAATAAATTAATTAACAAATTGCATTGACGCTAACGTTAACGGTGAAATAAAAGTGATAATTCCGTTGAATTCGAAAGTTTTTCACTCGTGCAAATTCTCGGAAAAATATTCTTAACTTTACTGATTTCTGTTATATTGTGGCTGTAGCATGTCTTATCTCAAAAAATTGAAGCTGCCATACTCGCACTGTTCAAATACTGTCACACTTACTGCTCGAAGCAGTGATACG